CGCACACATAGACAAATGCACTCGAATAACACATGAGCAGCAGCAGCTGCTGCTGCAGCTAGAAAACTGAATCAGAAACTGAATCCCGTTTGCTGTGCGGCGGCTGTGGCAAATGTGTTTGCATTTCAGGTGTCAACAGCAAAAACACATTCAGCTTTGTTGCAATAACAATAACAATAACACAGCAACACAAAACAACAAAAACAATGAAGCTAAATCCTCTGCCAGCATTTTCAATACAATGAAAACATTTCACTTTGCTGCAGCAACAGCAGCAGCAGCAGCAGCAGCCAAACGAATTCGTACAGCTCGAGAATTTTTGGACACAAAACAAAATGGCAGCCCAACCGGCTGGTGGACGAGAAGGGAAAGGCGTGGGGCTACGAACAACAACTAAAACTGATGCTAAAGAAATCAATGTACTGAAAATGTAGAAAACTTGTTTCAACTCAAAACAAGATGCAAAGTTTATGGTCAAAGCTTTGCAAATGGAAAATGTGAAAAATTTACGAATTAGTTTTTCATTTATATAACAATATTTAGAAGTAAATTAAATATTATAATAGAGTTATTTTTACAGTTTATAGAGAAGAAAAATAAATTCATTGCATAATTAAATTTCTTTTCATTCTAAAGTCTTTTTTCTCTTCTTATTTCTCTATGAGAATATCTCTCAATCTCCCTTCTGGCCTCTTACAGTCCCTCTCCTCTTGTCACTCTCTCTCTCTCTTTCTCCCTCTCTGTGCATCTCACTCTTGCCTACTCTTCATGGTTGATGCTTTAAGAATTATCATGAATTTAATTCACTTTTATTTTACAATTCATTTGAAAGCTGTTTTTATTTCAGTCAAAATTTCAGCAAATATCAAAGCAACAATTTTGGTTTGTGTAAATTGAATTTGGCTGAAATCATTGCGATTTGCACTTAGACAGTTGTTGTTGTTGTTATGGCCCTTGATTGTTGCTGTACTTTTTTTATATATATTGAGCCAGCTCAAGTACCTGAAGTGACATTTTGCACAAACACAGAGGACACTTCTTCAGCTTCAGCTGCGCTTTATCTACGACTCGATTTTCCGAGCGTTTAACCAGCAGCAACAACAACAACAACAGCAACAACAGCAAATGAGAGACAGCAAGTAAACAAAAGTCAGAGACAGAGTTGGCGCTCGAGTTGGAAGTGGAGTTAGAGTTGGAGGCGGAGGCGGAGGTGGCGCTGTCCACGGCTATGTCCTTGCTATGCAGTCCAGTCTACACTAAATGATGCTCGAGGGCAACGACTAGGAATTGTTGCCGATGCTCAAAAGTCAAAAGGCTACGCCTGGCAGCAGCTAACTGACTTTGGCTTTCAGGTATAATTAATCTTGTTTAGTCCTTGTCGCTGCTGCTGTTGCTGTTGCTGCTGCTGTTGCTGTTGCTGCTGCTGTTGCTGCTTCTACTTCTGCTTGTTGTTTTTGTTGTCTGTCACCCGATGCTTCAGTTTGTTTGTCTTTTCGGCTGCTCCTTGAAAAGCGTAGGACGCTATCGTAATGTATTTAGAACGAGTTTAATTTGCTCGGCAACACATTTTTCTTGTGACCTGACCAAAGTATCCCAAATGCTACCGCTCCCACTTTCTCCTTAGCTATCTATCTCACTCTACTGTTGGCCAGGTTAACTATTAATTCTGGCCCCTGAGCAAGATTAACGAGTGCATGATTGCCTCAAATTGTCTGCCCATCCAACTAAACCCTCTCCCGCTCCCCTCGCCCTCCTCATTCTCATCACCCACTCGTCCTTTATAGTTAATAGCAAAAATTCGTTGCATACTTCAAGGCGTTTCGTCACACAGCACCAAATTCATTTTCGCCCAGTGTAATTTTTGTCGCCATTTTGGCAGCTTCTCTTAGCTGTTTTCTCAATTCTTTCTGCAGAGCTGTGCCACGCCCTTAATTGTAATTAATTCAGCTGCATGTCACAGACGTTTGGCTTATTTTCTTCACCTTTTCTGCCTTTCTTTTATTTTCTTTTCGTGACTCTTAAATTGCAAGCAGAAACTCGAATCTGAATATCAATAAATATTTTAAATAATTCAGAATTGGTTTTAGCTTCAAGCTCAACTCTAATGATAATTGTTTCCTGTTTTTTTTTTTTTAATTAAATGAATTGGTGAATTTCTATATATCTATAATCTAAAAGTCTCATGACAAATTTCATGCTGATTCGAATCGTCATTTATATAATTAATGACATTCGTTACGTTGCGCTTCTAGATTCTCTTTGGATTATTTAATATAAATGTGTATGCATATACTCGTTTTTTATTATTTTATTATTAGATATTTACAACAAAATGCCCGTTTCTATTTTTGCCACATTAATTTTTTGCTTAAATTTCAAACACTTAAAATAAACTGCACAGGAGCAACTTCAATTGCCTGTTTTTAGTTTGCTCTTGCCTCCCACTGATGGGTAGAGCTCTACTCGGCATATACAACTCCATTACATTTACCACACACACACACACACACATACATATAGACACTCCAACACCAACACACATAGATCACTTTTGCGTATACGCATTGGCATACCAAAGCCCCAACGGCAATGGGGCATGCTCATCAAGGGTAACAACTGGGAGCTGTTACCAGGTAGCTGCTGCTTGCTACCTGCTACCTGCTACCTGCTAACTGCTGCCAGATAGCTCGTCCAGCCCAAAGTGCGTCAAAACTAATGGCCACTGACAACAAAGTAAATGAAGCATAGCTGCAGGCCAAGGGGGCTCACAGTGTGGGGCAAGAGCCGTTGGGTTGGCAGTCAAAGTGCAGCAAACAGGATGAAAAGCTCGACTCGACTCGACTGACGACACACAGAGTGCTGGGCAGGACAGCAGTTGCTGGGACGGCCACGTAATAGGCGAAATGAAAAATCTATGAAGTTAAATGAGTGAAAATCAGGAAAATGCATTAATGAATGAATGACAGCAGGCGCTGTCAGCAGCACTGGCACGATAAGGACATTGACGAGTTACGTCCAACCCAAGCGCCTCCCCAGCTCCTGGCTATTCCCCATGGGGCAGCTTTGCGCTTGTACGTGAGTGAATGATCGAGTGTGTGTGTATATATATGTACGTGTGCTTGACGGGCAGCTGGTCAAGTCGGGATTTGTACGGCTTGTACCAGGTTGATGGTGCCCCTGCTGTCGGCTGCGCTGAACAGCAGCAGCCTCGTTGAATGTCTTATTTATGAATGCAAAACCGTTCTGTTGGGTTTGGCTGCTGAACCTGGATTTGGGCATGTAGTACAGCAGATATGATGGCCGATGTTCAACACGTGCCACCCTAGCATTGAGCTGGGGTACACACACTAACACATACACTTGATTGTGTTGGCAGCCATAATAGACGGATGTCCAAACAGTTACAAAAGCTTCAATTTCGAAGTTTGTTCTAGATGAAAAATATGATGTAATTACAGCTATAGCACCTGGCTAATGTAGCGAGTCGCATATATTTCAAGTAAAAGAAATTTCTGTTCACTATTTACTCAGCAGCGATGCTTCCATTACTCCATTTTGAGTTGAACTTAGGACCATAAGTAGAAAGAGTACAGCAACAAAAAACAACAGCAGCCGATCGACTTAATATTTTTATTTATCAGAGCGGGACAGACATATGAACAGTAAATGCCTATTCGACCATTGCTTTTTATTTGCATGTGAAATAACTGTAAATCAATTTGAAGAGAGAAAAGAGAGAGAAGCACCTTGTGGAATGGAACAGAAGAAATAGAGAGCGAGACGGATATATGCTACAGTTTATTCATTGCAAGATACCCAACCGAAGAGAAGCGTCATTGGAACTGTTTGACAGAGAACAAGCTGAGCTTAAAATCTATGAACATCCACCGTTACATCCGAGTAAAAGCGAGACAGAAAAATGTATGTATACACAAATACAAATAACAACAAATAAGTACGCTCTAGTCGAGACTGCTCGAATACGAAATCCCCTGAACCCTACGAGGAACTGATATATAGATAATTCATCGCGTATTTTAATACATTAATAACTTTTTTTCTATGAACTAGCTTCATGAAAGTTTCAGATCGTGATATATATTATAACATTGAAATGCATGCATCTGACAAAGCACAAGTGTCTAGTATTTGAAATAGGCCTTTTACAAATTTAAGGGTGAGGGAGTTGATTTAGGGGTGGAGGTGAATTATAATTAAAACGTAAATTCTATTAAGTACATATAAATCAGCTCCAAAGATGTAGCAGATATAATTTGATTAATGAATTTCGATAATTATTTTAATAAATAACAAAATAACGGGATTAGTTTTCGATTTTTTGAGAAAAACTCGATATATATATATGATGTCTTCTAAAATCGACGCGTTCAAACATACGGACAGACGGATGGACAGACGGAGAGACAGAATGGCTTCTGGGTATAAAAATATTGAAAGCAAGTATTATTGTTTAAAGTTGATAATTTATGGTAAATATTAAAGGACAGGATTATATAAAATACCACAAGTTACATTTTAATTTTCTTGCGCAGTTATTTCAATATGCATGAAAAAGAAAAAAGCAAAAACTACGGCACTGTTCTCAAGATAGTTTTAAACATTCAATGTTCAAGGTCATTTTGTAACTTTATTCTTAGCTATATGATAACGAATCAATCAGTAATGCAGTAATACAGTAATGCATGCAAATTTGATATATTTACATAGGCAATAGAAGTCAATCTTTTTTATTTCATTTTCATAACCATATCATCAGCTTTCACACTTATTTAATTAAATACCCTGAAATAATTTGCAAATATCTTTAAAAAATAAATAAATAAAATGAAAACAACAAAAATAGGACATTACAATTCGGAATGCAACGTCAAGAATATCGCAGCCGACGTAATTTTAGTCCGTTAAGCACAATTTGCTCTTTCTCTTTCCACTATAATATGAAACCCCTATTAGCAAACAAACTAATAAAACGGTAATTGTTAGAGGCTTTGGGATTGCTTTCTGTATAAAATTTAAACGTTATTAAATTTCTCTAATTATTATAAGGAAAGCATTTTGCGTCCTCCAACTTCTTTAAAGCTGGCTTTGTAACAGCCTCTATCCTTGCGATCAGAGCAGTCACGCACTTTTTACTACCAGTGAATTTCTGAATAAACTGGTAGCCAAGCAGAAGCGCATATTCAAGGTCCAGATCACGTAACTTTTTCGGAAAAAAGTTAATACACGCCGCCGATTCCTTCAGTGCCGGTATAGCCACGCTGGCGACTTCGGAAAGCCCTTCAGCCGATACCTGCGCACAAGTTAGTGCATCCTCAACAGTAAACCCCTTGACATTCGTCCCCAAGACCTAGACGATGAGATGGCAAATATTATCCCTTTCTCTCAGACTTACTTATTCATTCATGCTTACCAGGAGACAGCTCAACAAAAGAATGCTCTTAACGGTCTGCATTTTGATGTAGACTATTTTGTGAATTGAATTGATGATGCTATTTATAAAGAAAGCCAAATCAATTCGATATGCTGAATACTCGCATAGAATTTCATATTCAATTCGAGCTACACAAGCGGATCAAATTAATTTTAGCATCCTGCTTATAAAAAGAGCAATACGAGCTTATCGTGAATCTAGTAACACTCGAAATGCAGTTCATGAAAGTTATCTTCTTGCTGAGCTGTCTCCTGGTAAGCCATCTCTCTCACTCTACTCAACTGCGGACTGACTCTCTCTCTCCCTCTCTCTACCATAGATTGTGGGACATACTCATGTCAATGCAGCTGGACTAGATCTGTTCAAGGTATTGGACTGCGCTGAAATTGCAATCGCGGCTGGCGGCTACGTAGCTGTGAGGGCCGTGCCCTTAGTAAAGGACTTGGCCAAATGCACAAACTTCAATACCGATGCAAATGCCAATCTCGATATCAAGGGTTTCATCGAGGTTGTGAACCAGTTCCTGAAACAATCAAGTGGCAGTCCAAAGTGTTTGCAGACAACGCTGGACACAATTAAGGGCTACGTCGAACCGTTTGTGAAACAAATCACCGAAGCGAAATGCTTCCCCTAGACACATTCACGTTGTAAACTGGTTCAATAAAGTGCTTCCAATTTTTCACATTATACTGGAATATTACTTAAAAACTGAATGATCTGGCCTGCTTCATCTCTGCATCTCTTCTTTACCGTATTTGATATATTGACAAATTAAGATTTTCATTTGATCTAGATTTTGGTTCCACACGGATGAAGGTCGAGCTCGTAATAAGAGAGACTTGAAATATATTTTTTTTGTAATAATACACAAAATGAATAATAATTATATTAATAATGCCTAACTATTTAGCAATGTTCTTATATCGATTGGTTTATTGGGGTTTGGGGCTACTCCAAGCACTTCTCATCCATGAATTCTTTCACATGCGGTTCGACATAACCCTTGACTGTCTTAAGCGCTACCTTCATGCACTTTGCACTCATTATAATTTTTTTGAGGAACTGGTTCAGAATGGGAAACAAGTCCCGAATACCTAGATCGCCCTTAGCATCGGGAGCGAAATTTACGCATTTGGCCCAATCCGTTAGTAAAGGTATGGTCCTAACTAAAACTTTGCCGGCACCCTCAATAACGATTTCAGTACAGTCCAATAGCTTAAACAGACCCACTCCTGCCTTTACATGATTCTCCCTCACAAACTATAGGTTACAAAGAGAGAGAGAGAGTGAGAGTGAGAGTTGGGTAGAGTGAGAGTTGGGTAGAGTGAGAGAGGTTGCTTACCAGGAGACAGCTCAGCAAGAGGATCGCTTTTATGAACTGCATTTGAAGTGTTACTTGATTCCAAATCAGCTCCTATTGATCTTTTCATTAGCAAAGTTGAAATGAATTTGATTCGCTGGTCTAGCTCGAATCGAATGTGACTATATAAGCGAATATTTAGCATATCGCATTGATTAGAGTCTCCTTATAGCGTGTAAGGCGTAAATAAGGCAGTCTAAAAGATCGCATAGTCTAAATCAAAATGCATATCACTAAGGCCATTCTATTGCTGAGCTGTCTCCTGGTAAGCACGAATGACTTACTAAATCTGAGTAGAGAACCTATTTGTCATCTGATCATCTAGCTCCTGGAATCCTCTGTCAGCGCACTCAATTTTGATGGTATTCTAGATTGTACGCAGGCAGCAATTGAATCAGGCGTTTCGCTTGCTGCTCGCGTTATACCAGAAGTGAAGAGAACAACGGCGTGTATAAACTTCGTTCCGAGTCTGGCAGCTGAGCTAGACGCCCAAAGTTTGGTCTTGCTTATTTATGATTTTTTTAAACAATTTTTGGCAAATGAAAAGTGCGTGGACGCTACGCTTGAGAGAGTTTATGCAGCTGTACAACCAGAGTTGCAAAAATTGTACAACATACAATGCATACCAACGGAACTTCTTGAACATTATATCTGAAGGCCTATAAACATACTGTTAAAATTTATTCACAATTATTATTTATTTATTATGCAATCGATTAATATTTTTGCCCCCCTGTGCATTATAGAAATTTGTAGGAATCATTTTAAAAATTTAAATTAAATGTGTTTATTTTAATTTTCATCTCCGTTAGTTTTGTTTGGTTTATGAGATTTTGTTGTGGAATTCTTACCGAACATGCATTTCTCTTCTTTATATTGATTCACGTACGGTCTTATATAGTTCCCAACTCTTTTCATCGTTTTCTGTATGCAAAATGGGTTGGTGCTCACTTTTCTGAGGAACTGGTTAAAGATGCGCACTAGCCCCAAAAAATTCAGATTTTCTTTAGAATGGAGATCAAATTCTATGCATTTTGCCAACTCCTCTATTAAGGCTCTGCCCCTCTCAGCAACGTAGCCGGCACCTTCAATAATAATTTCACCGCAGTCAAGTACTACAAACAGATCAACTCCTGCCTTCACATGATTATCCCTCACAATCTATGGCATAGAAAGAGAGAGAGTAAGAATGAGAGTCAGTCAGCATTTGCGTAAAGTGAGAGTGGTGCCTTACTAGGAGACAGCTCAGCAAGAAGATCGCTTTCACGAACTGCATTTCCGGTGTTACTGATTCTAGATTAGTTCGCACCGCAATTTTTATTCGCAGGACGCTTAAATGAATTTGACTCGCTGGTCTTTTGAATGTGGATACGCCAGCCTATCGAATTGATTTAAGTTTCCTTATAAATAGCGTCATCAAGTCAGTCCATAAGATAGTCTAAATCAAAATGCTGATCGTTAAGAGCATTCTCTTGCTGAGCTGTCTCCTGGTAAGCAAGAATGACTAGCTAAATCTAATGAGCAGAGATTCTATATGCCGATTTTATCTCTCCGACTAGCTCCTGGGGTCCAATGCCAATGGACTTACTATTGATGGTATCCTAGATTGCGTGCAGGTTGCGAGTGAGTCGGGCTCTTCGCTTGCTGGTCTTGCCATACCGGAGTTGAAGAATACTGCAGCGTGTTTGAACTTTGTCCCAGACGAGGCAAACAACTTAGACCCAAAAAAATTGGTTGAAGTTATTTACAAGTTTGTTCAACGATTATTCGAAAAGCAGAAGTGTCTGGTGGCCTCGATCGGAAGGATTCATGCTGCTGTGCTACCAGCTTTGCAAGGTTTAATCGACAAAAATTGTTTACCAGGAAAACATTAAAGTTCTAGCAAATCCCCTCGTTTGGTAGAAAATTATACGTGGAATCGCATAAACGAATTTCTGTTTTATTTCAACAAAAATGTTCAAGTTGAGAATAATATAATATGTAGTGGAGTCTCTACAAGTCCTACTGACAAAACGTCTTAGTTGATTCCATTCAGACGCAGCAGCAATTCTTAATAATTAAGCAATGTTCTCGTCTCAGTTTAGAAGTGCTTTATTGAATCTTTGTACAACTTTACTGTGAATTTTAATTGGATCTAGATTTAAGTCTTTCATATTCCGAGCTCGACCTACATCCGTGTGGAACCAAAAGATAGTTCAAATGAAAATTTAGGTTTGTCAAATTATGAAGATGCATTGGGACATGAAATGATAGAGTGTGTATCCTCATTTGGTTCAATATATCAAATATGGTAAAGAAGAGATGCAGCGATGAAGCAGTCCATATCATTCAGTTTTTAAGTAATATTTCAGGATAATGTGAAAAATTGGAAGCACTTTATTGAACCAGTTTACAACGTGAATGTGTCTAGGGGAAGCATTTCGCTTCGGTGATTTGTTTCACAAACGGTTCGACGTAGCCCTTAATTGTGTCCAGCGTTGTCTTCAAACACTTCGGACTGCCACTTGTTTGTTTCAGGAACTGGTTCACAACCTCGATGAAACCCTTGATATCGAGATTGGCATTTGCATCGGTATTGAAGTTTGTGCATTTGGCCAAGTCCTTTACTAAGGGCACGGCCCTCACAGCTACGTAGCCGCCAGCCGCGATTGCAATTTCACCGCAGTCCAATATCTTGAACAGATCGAGTCCAGCTGCATTGACATGAGTATGTCCCACAATCTATGGTAGAGTGAGAGAAAGAGAGAGAGAGAGTCAGTCCGCTGTTGAGTAGAGTGAGAGAGATGGCTTACCAGGAGACAGCTCAGCAAGAAGATAACTTTCATGAACTGCATTTCGAGTGTTACTAGATTCACGATAAGCTCGTATTGCTCTTTTTATAAGCAGGTTGCTTAATTTAATTTGATCCACTAGTCCATTTCGAATCGGATATAGATACGCCAGCCTATCGAATTGATTTAAGTTTCCTTATAAATAGCGGCATCAAGTCAGTCCATAAGATAGTCTAAATCAAAATGCAGATCGTTAAGAGCATTCTTTTGCTGAGCTGTCTCCTGGTAAGCAAGAATGATAAGCTAAATCTGATAAGGAGAGATTCTATTCCGACTATATCTTACCGTCAAGCTCCTGGGGTCCAATGCCAACGGACTTACTATTGATGGTATCCTAGATTGCGTGCAGGTTGCGAGTGAGTCGGGCTCTTCGCTTGCTGGTCTTGCCATACCGGAGTTGAAGAACACTGCAGCGTGTATGAACTTTGTCCCAGACGAGGCAAACAACTTAGACCCAAAAAAATTGGTTGAAGTTATTTACAAGTTTGTTCAACGATTATTCGAAAAGCAGAAGTGCCTGGTGGCCTCGATCGGAAGGATTCATGCTGCTGTGCTACCAGCCTTGCAAGGTTTGCTCGACAAAAATTGTTTACCAGGAAAACGTTAAATTTCTAGCAAATCCCGTCATTTGGTTGAAAATATTATACTTGGAGACGCATCAACGAATCAGTTGTTTTATTAAAAAAAAAAAAAAAAAAAAAAACAAATGTTTCAACTGGGAATATTATAAAATATAAAAATTTCACCTAGACAAATATCTTAACTTAATTTGAAGTGGAGGATTGCAAAATACTTCAATATAGGAATTTGTGGTACTATTTGTAAAATCATTTCCGAGTTGTGTTTGGTGCTCAATTAGTGCTGCTGTTTGAATGCTGAGCGGTGCAACGTGAAGCCTTGCATGACCCCAACGCCAAAAACCCACTTCATGTTGAACAACTCATTTGCACCACAGTTGGTTTTCCAATTGCGTTGACCCTAACTTCACTTTATGCTGCTCCACTCGAATGCGAATTGCCTCTCGCCCGCCGGGCTGGCAGCATTTTTCGCCTATGAAAACGTTGTCGCATATTAACGTAATTAGTTCATGCGCCCCATAGAACTTGTCCGACTGCAACTGGCTGTGGCTGGTAGAGGCTGTGGCTGGTAGAGGCCTTGGGATGGCTGAGAGTGTGTGCGGCTAACGGGGTGTCTATAGCTGAAAACTCGAACTGCTGGCCGAGGGGCATTCCAGCTCTATGGGTTTTGTAGTATAGCCAGCCAGCCAGCCAGACTGACAGACTGACTGACTGAGTTTTGGCTTGTGCCCGGCCGGCTACTGTTGTTTTTGCGGTATTTGGGAATTGTGGCCGGAATTATGATGTCCAGGACCAGCCGACGCGACGTTCAGCCCATTAAGCCAAGTGAATGAGGCGCAGGCGAAGGCGAAGCTGCTGGGCAGCGAGGAGGCAGCGGCGAGGCAGCTGTGCGTGCGTGTTTTACATATGAATATGGCCGGCAGTGGGAAACGTGTGCAGAGTGGACCGTGTGTGTTAATTGAAACGTGATTGTGTCGAAGGCAGAGCACACTGACTGCCCTGAGTCCAAAATGGGGCCAACCCCATTTTCATCTTTCCTCGTCTTTTTTTTTTCTCTCTGCTTAGAGAAATGGAGACCGGGCTCGTTTTGACACTTGCAATTTGCAATTGTCAACGGGCAAATGAATGGTTTCTAGCTTAAAAGCAGCACTAAAATTGGGAAAAACTCTAGCTCAGGCCTTAAATGTTGTGCGTAATATAATTTAGTTGATGCTCGTGGGCTTTGGGGAATTCAATTTGCACGCACGCACAATTGAATTTGAATGCGAAATGGCTTCGATATCGAATGCATTATTAATTTACACACACACACACACACACACACGCACAGCTAGTTGTCCCTTGCTGTCCTTTACGTTTTGCATTCGTACATTTATCCTTTCAGACACACACACACACACTAACGTATATGTGGTTCTTCACTTTCGCATAAACGACATGGATGCTGATATTGATATTGATGATGATTCCGGTCTTTGCAAAAGAGAATTTCAAATGCGCTCCTAATGTGATTAAGTTGAGGTCTTAAGTCGGACTTTGAGCCTGACACACGATTTGAGTTTCTAAGTTCTTTTCAGTACCTTACATTATACGAATTTCGGTCAGGTATTAAGTGTAATGGGCCATAAATGTAAGCCAAGAGGAGAAACCCGGTGGTCTTAGCAATTGATGATGGAACAAGTTATATTAATTATCATTTACGAGACTACTTTAAGGAATATTTGAAGATATAAGAAACTAACTCGAAGAATAATGATGGTGATTTAATTTTATATTTTGTAATTATAAGGTAGCAAAATAATGTTGTTAAAGGAATATTTGAATATGTTTATGAATTTTTATTTTAGCTAATTTACTTATTTTTATTTTTTAGTTTTAATAAAATTTCGGTATAAAAAGTGTTATATATTTTTCCATTTCAGATTCAAAGACTCCCTAGTCCTTTTCGAATTAAACATATGAATATACAGTGAATATCAATTTGTATGAAAAGTAACAAATAAAATAAATAAATATTATTGTTTTGTATTATTTAGTTTAAAAAACATTTGTAGATATTTGCAGCTGTTAAAAAGCCAAGCAGATCGAATCTTCAGTTGCATTATAAATTTTAAGCTTATTAATAATATTTCTGTAAAAATTTTAATTTGTAATATTTGTTATGCAATCCGAAAAATAAATATAATTCTTAACGTATTATCCATGGCTCTTCGATTATATAAGCATATTATAATAGTTTCAAACCGGAGCATGTCAAATATATAGCGTGAATGATGAATAAGTTCTACCAATTATAAAAACATTGTTGTTAGTATGTACGATATGTATTATATTAGATATAGTGTATGTGTGTGTATATCTGAGATAGCAATGCTAATCGATAGATGACTTTATTTCTGCACATCAAGGACATCAATCAATTCAAGGGACAATGTGATGCTAGAAGCTCATCCTGGCAATAAGGCCTAAAAGCTAAAATCCATTTGCTTACCAAGTGCCTCGGACACTTTCGACTTGACACGAATGTCACAAAATTGAGATTATGTCATTTGTTTAGTTTGCTGCCTCAATTATTCAGTGGCCAAAAAGGCAGCATCATAAACAATTTGCATGTGTGTGTGTGAGAAAGAGAGAGAGTGCATGCATGTATGGGTCCTTGTGGTGGCTGCGCAATTACATAAATTTTGTGAGACAATTTCGATTTGTATTTTCTTTTACTTAAATTATGCCTTCGGGTGCTTTGACTCAGGCAGCAAGGCAGTCGGACGGACGGAGAGACAGACGGTTGGAAAACGTGTGTATGCCAGCCAATTGAAATATAATATTTATCATTACACACACACACAGACTCAGTGACACAGGCAGACGGTGTTGTGGTAATTAATTTCAATATGCTCAAAATTTTGCATTTGCATATTTATTTGAAAGCTGCCATAATTATATTTATGTGTGGCAGCTGCTGTTAAATTTTGGCCTGGATTTTAAGTTGAGGCTAATTGATGGACAATATGTGAAATCAAATGAAGTTGTGATGCGATTTAAAGAGCTTGAGGACACAGATTGTCAGGCTCTTAGCCCGGTCGAAACCGCAACAAAATCAATTGCCTCTCTATGCTAGCCACACATCACTGTGTGTGTGTATGCGTGTGTGTGTGTGTGTGTGTGTGTGTGTGTGTGTGTGTGTGTGTGTGTGTGTGTGTGTGTATGTGGGCTGGCTCATGCAAAATTTAATTTTAATTTCAGCTAAGCAATTGTTGCGAAAGTGAGAACAGGCAATTTCCTTGCCTTAACAAAAGTCAAAACAAAAAGCTCTAGTCACGCCCACACTAGCCGCCCAAGTCGTTTAACTATGTATATATATCCCGTGCAACAGCAACAGCAACAGCAACGAAAACAGAAACAGCAACAAGATGAACAAGAAGCTGCGAGCATACATTTTAACCACTTGACTGCATTGTGGCTAAAATGGCAGCAAGAAGTCAAAGTCACCGCCCGAAGTCAGCGTCGCTCAGCTGTGTGCCACATCCGCCCCACTTGCCGGCCGCCCACATCGTCTGGCAGTACTAGTCCTTTAGCCAATTGACATGCAGACCTGCCTGGCAGCCGTAAATCGGCATAAATAATTCATTATTGCCGCCTCGTTGCGCATAAATCAAGTCAGCCGGTCCAAAGCCAAAACCAGAAACACTGTCTTGACAAGTCTCGTCTGACTGAAGTTAGCAAATACACACACACACACTAAACTTCGAAATATTTAAATAAATATAAAAATAATATTGCCAAAAAAGGTAATTGGAGATGCCGGGGATTGAACCCGGGGCCTCTCACATGCAAAGCGAGCGCTCTACCACTGAGCTACATCCCCATGTTGATGTCTGCCTGCCAAATGCTGATAAGTCACTCAACCCCAAATAGACTAGTACAATTCAATGAAGTAGCTGTTAAGTGTTAGGTATTGCGAATTTCATATTTTTGTTTTAATATTGATATTGATTTAATTTAATTAATTTGCTAAATGAAAAAATTATAAACAAGTATAAACATTGCACAGCTAAATACTGAATGATTAACGTGATTTCCTATTTGTATTTATAAATGATAACAGTTTATAATTCATATATAATCCAATGCCATTTTTTATTCTCATCACGTTTCACTTTAATGCGCATGACCATTGACAACTGACATGCGCTTAGCTTAGGCTGCTGTTTGTGCTGCTGCTCACTCAACGGGGATGTAGCTCAGTGGTAGAGCGCTCGCTTTGCATGTGAGAGGCCCCGGGTTCAATCCCCGGCATCTCCAATTACGTTTTTTGTTTTTAATTTTTATTTTAAATATTTCTATACAAAATGCTCTTGAACAATTTTTTTCTGCCGATATTTTTGCTTTGGTTGCTGCGCGATCGCATCAATTCAGGTGGTTAGCCCCGTTATTTTCCCCCTTTCCCGCTTTTTGTGTTGCTCTGCAGAAACTGTGCACGATCGAGTATTTCGAGTACGAAATTATTCCGATTTGAGATCACAATCGATCGCAATTTTGCTTCTTCATTCGTAAAATCGATAAAGTGATCCATGCGGCTATCAGGTGCACAGCATGTTAAGCAAGTAAATTATTCAGTAGCACCGCTCGTTTCTTGCATTGAGAGTGTGAGGCTATTTCTATACGCCCGCATGATCGTTTCAAAATACAAAAACTGTAAAATGCACCGCGCCATGTATCGAAGAGAGATGGAAAGAGAGTGACGGTCGCACTGTGCTGGCCAGTAGCAAGTAGTCAAAGCGAGACGAAGCGACGCAAAGAACCGCAGCCAACGAAGCAATATAAACTGAGCGTGAGTGTATGCGTGCATACGTGTGTAGTCGAGCGTGTGTGTGCGTATGTGTGTGGGGTTGACGCCGCTCTCTTATGTTTTTCTACCTTTTTGTTGCTGCCCATTGAATTGAATGCGTCAGTTCCGCTCGCTGTCAGCGCTGCGCGCCTGGCACTTTACTTAAATGATTGAACGATTTTTGCACGGTTTTTGAAATTAAAGTTCATTTCGGTTCCATTCTCGTTCCCTTTTCCAACGGCCCAGGCCCAGGGAACAGACACAAATTTCCGATCTCTTATGACTGGCAGCCATTGGTCGATCGATTCGAAAGAAGACGCTGACGCTTCGAGCAATGATGGCGCAGTTGCTCTACAAACAGTTCGTTTGGGTTTATAGCTAATTGTTGCTTGATCTTATATGAACGAGTTAAGAGAATTCACATTTGATTGACGTAAGGCACTTTTATTTATTTATTTTTATTTTTTTATTTCGCTGACAGCTAAAGCGGATTTAGAGGAAACTTCGTTTCGTTTCTTTCTTTAAGATTAACGCTTTTTATATATACAGACATATATATATGTATATCTCTAGGTTGGCTTGCATATTAATTTGAAAAGAAAATGCTCAGGTATTTTGCTTAATCTCTAGCGTTTGCCAGTGCGGCCTGCGAGCTGCCTTCCTGCCAGTTGAAATTCATTTCGCGCGAATTTCTTATAAATATGCATGCAAACAAAATGGCCGCCAGCTGTTCCAGTAGCTGAGATAAATACAGGTGCGTCCAGCCCAGTCGCAGCAGTCCTGAAAGGACCTTAATTAAATGTTAAGTGTAAACTTTAAATGCAATTGGCAATGCAATTTGGGCACGAAACTCTGACTTCCACTTTGCCGGCTTGTTAATTATAAGCAATTTCATAAGTTAATTTGTGCACAGAGAAGGCGAGCAGCAGACGAAATGGGAAAGAGAGTCACAGGGAGAGCGAGAGGGAGAGCAAAAGAGACAGTCATATGTGGAGTGCACAACAAATTTTTGCTTAAATTTCATTACGCCATAAGCAAATATTCTGCCCAGCTGCAGTCCCCCTTCTGCCGCCATTCCCGCCTTAGTTTGTTTGTTTGCCAACTTTTACGAAACTAATTAAAACGATAAGAGCGAATCACCAAGCGAACGAACGACCGAGCGAGCGAGCGAACGAATGAACGAACCACGCGCCGCCGCCTATCGAGCTGCGCCCCAAGGAGCTCGCGATTGCGGGTCCAGCAGTCAGCCTTCTAGTGCTTTTGAGTATTATTTGATCATTATCTGTCTTCTCTGCTGCATGACTACATTTCGTACATTCGTTTTGGATGGCTTTTGTGTTGTTGCCTACACACGGCAAATGCCAGTTGGAGGTGTGTATGCGGGCGTGTTGTCCCTGAAAATTGAGCCCGTGCCCGGGGGAAGCTGGGCCCGAGCCCGGGACTGGGACTGGGCCTGGGGCTGTGCTGCTGCTTCAGTGGTCATACGGAAATTAAATAAATTCCATAAGCTGACCAGCTACCCCGATCAATCATGGCCATGGCACACGTCAGCAACCACTCAAAATGCCAACTGTCAACTGTCAACACGGCAAAAAGTACAGTTGGCGACAAAGAGTGGAACCACGAAGGAGTTTTACGTTGCGGCTCAAAATGTGGCACCCACAGGCTGCAAAGAAATGCAATGAAATACATATAATTAAATCTATACTACATGTGAAATGTATTGGATCAGTAGATAATATAGTTTTCGTTATTTATTCAGTATTATAATTTAATTATTCATTTGAATAGAGTTGTTAATATTCAATAATATTTGATTTGTAGTTAAGTTTAACTTATATTAAGTTCAATTTATATTAAAATAAGAAAACATTTTTTTTAAGTACCTAAAAGTATGTTACATTTCACATTTACAATTAATTTAATTACAGTGAATTTTAAAATCTTGTTAAATTTATATTATTATATTAATGCAAAAACGATTACTATTTACATTTACTATTATTATTTATGTAAATTTTTAATATTTATTATTGAAATTTTTGTTAATGATTTCCTTATTATTTATTAAATTTTGGTTATTATTAATAAGTTTATATTTTTATAGATTTATTTATATTGTTCATCTTCACTTCCCTAAAAAATTCTTGAATCCTCTATAAATAGTTTCCTTCACATCTGTCGCCTGTCAATTGTCTTCGAATTGCATTTGAATGGTCTTTGTTTTCCAGGAATCGCATTGGCCTGGTCAAAAAATGTCGTCTGCATATGGAGCGGCACGTTCCCTGTGCCGACACCTCCAGCGCCACCTTCGCTTCTGCCTGCATCTCCCCCGCCCCCCACTCAACGCAACTGCATGCAAAACTCATATGCATTCATACTTCGTGAATCCTTCAAACAAATTGATATGCCATACAGATGAAGCAGTCAGCTGGAAACAGCGTTGGCTACTGCTGATAAGCGGGTCTCAGCTCGGCGCAGACAATGGGCATTAATGCTCGAGAGCGAGAGTGAAAGCAAGTGCATGAGTTATCAATTTAATTGAGAGCGTTGAGCGAATGGCATGGGAAATACAATGTACACACATTTGTTTGTCTGTAGTGCGCTGATAGGTTCACCTAAAAGTATGCTGCATGTGTGTGTGTGTGTGTGCGAGTGTGTGATTGTGATTGCTCGCAACAGCTGTTTCCAGTTCTCTCCCTTCATCAGTCACTCGCTTTCCAGTTTCAGCGCCACTCACTCTCATTTCAAGTTTTAAGTTAGTGATGAGCGTCACAGAGATCTAATGATAGCAGAAGTACCTGAATACAAAGTTAATTTAAATTCAATAGCCATGTTTTAACACGAAATAGTAATATGCATATATTTTATAACTAGTTTCTTAATTGACTTGTCTTATTAATTCGCTTAGGCTCTTTCGTTAACAGTAAACGATATATATACGATATTCACTGGCAAGCGACCATCTCTAGCAAGCTTTGAGCTCACCTGTGGCTTTTGGTGACTGGCCCTCTTGAAGTAGCGCCGTTGGCCCGGTCACAATCAGTATCAATTCGCCCGCGAAAACGGTTAAATCGTTGAAGCGCGAGACATTCGATTGCGCTACGTGAGTAGAAAGAACTCGACGAACGAGAGCAAAGCAGAAATAACAACAAGAGTACCTACTACTGCGTCTACTATTACAACTACAACTACAAAAAACTAAAACAAAAAGAGCAGCAGCAACAACAACAGCTACAAATTATTTTACGTGCGCATGCGTCTCACACTTTATCTTCGCAATTCGCCTTCGCCGTTGTCGCCGCCTTCGCCGTCACCGTCGCCGTTACCGTTGCCTTCGCCGTTGCTGTCTCTGTCACTCGCGCACTTCTCACTTATCTTTGCTGTTGATTGATTTCGACTCCAAACATCAGCTCGCCTGTGCGTACGTGAATTTGCATGTGTGTAGGTGTGCATGCGAAATACGTAAAGAAAACAGAAATTGAATCAAATACAATTGAATAAAATAAATTTAATTCAATTTAAAGAGCAATAGATAAAAAAAAAGAAGAAAAACAGTGCACAGCCATAATAACAAAGCTATAAATAGTAAGGGCATTAAAACTTTTGCCAACAACAAAACTAAACTAAACACAGACTCACACACACACGCGTGCGCTCACCCATACTCGCTCACTTTAACGGATTGTTTATTTAAGCGGTAAGTTGAGGAGCTGTCAAACGCACAATTTGCATGCAAAACTGCATCGAAGCGAAAAAGTTTATGCAATGCCTGCCTGTGCATGTCAAACTGTACGGCAATGATGTCGCACGGCCTTGGCATAGTTTTAAAGTCCTGCTCAGTGCTCGAGGGGCCAGCAAATAAATTTAATGTGAATTGTGCCACAAACTGAAATGGAAATTTATGGAACTAAATTAGATTTGATAATACAAATTAATTATTTTTTAATATAAATAAATTCAATTAAATTCTGTTTGATAATTTGATATATGCTCGGAATTATATAAAAATGAATGTAATATAATATATTATTATATGTATATTGTTTGTTTAGGCTTTTCAGTTCAGCTAATGTTTTGAGGTTCCGCACAGTTTGAAATGTTGCCAAATAAAAAAACTTGAAAAGGAAAGCAATAAATTTTTGAGAAAATAAGGGTTCATTTAAATTAACATTTTTGTTTTCTTCTAAGTGTTGACACATTATATCTAATTTCGATGCATATTAAAAAATAATTACATTTTCTAAAATAGCATTTTAAGAGAGCTTTAAAAACAGTTTAAGGCGCACTGACTCAAATTATATATTTTAGTGAATTTGGGTGCGCGCACTTAATTATATATAACTAAATGCAGCAAAAACGAAATGCATTTTTCAATAGTAAAAACAGTTTGTAGTAAATGTATATAAATACATACATATATATATTATTATGATCTCTTCTGTTAGCTGTATTATTGGCACACGCAATGCGGCTCAAAATTGTTTGTTTTTGTTTTTTGTTGTCTGTTTTTGTTTCTGTGAGCAATCAACCTTAAAAGCCGCACGCTAAATAAACTAAATGTGCAATAAACATTAAACATTTTTTAGCCATAGCAAAATGTGTTGCCCTGTTAACTGTTAACTGCTTTTAATGGCCATAGTCAAACGGCAGCAACAACTTGCATAATCCGTAATTGTTTTGATTTATTTCTCTGTTACGGCTCCTTATGCCCCGCTTGTTGCGTGTGCTGTTGTTGTTGTTGTTGTTGTTGTTAGTGTTATTAGTCTTGTTGCCACGTTCATGCACACGCCGCTGTCCAACACTATCCCCTTGCAGCCCACCCTCTCTCTTTCTCTCTACCTCTCTCTTTCTCTCTGTTGCACATTGCATAAGGCCAAATGCGACATGCATGCGATTTTATACAGATACTTATATATATAGACATTTCTCGGTATTTTTGTACCTGGACACATAAAGAGGGAATTACAGTTTTATCACGAGCTATGTTGACCATATAAAGTATTTATATTCTTATCTATATAATATATAAATATGGGTAAACTTCTTTTTAATGTCAATTATGATTGATCATCCATTATATGCAATAATAATATATAATTATATTATTTTGTATACAAAAAAAATTATCGGAATGCTATTGTTGAAGGTCAGAATTATTTATTTTTAATTATATTATTTTTCAATTGATTAATAATTTATTATTTGTTTATGACTACATTTTCTATATAATCATATTATTATGATATTTTCAAATACTTCCTTCAACCTTTTGTTACGTTATTGATAGAATATTTATTAGATAAGATTTGATAAGAATCTAAAAAAATATCTAAATAAAAAAAAAAAAAAAAAAAAAAAAAAAAAAAATAATGCATTATATATCAATGAAAATATATATTGATATATAATTGTTTAAAGATTCCTAACTAAAATATTAGATCTTTAGTTAGTTTTACTTATATATATTTATCTATTATTTATTTTTAATTCTTTAATGGCATTTGTGGGGCTTACTGAATTCTCCTAAATTTGTAAGAACATTAAACTTGGTAAATAATCATTTTAAGTATTCTACTTACATATTTGATCGAAATATTACAAAAATACTATAGGCTTCTTTTACCTATTCCTGCCCACCTATTTCTTAGGGTATTTAATTGTCGACTTTCCTATATTTAGTTTGGTCTATTTACAATTCGCTTTTTACTTGTCTTGGGGTTTTTCATGGCGCAGGCGTGCCAGTGCCACGCCGCACTACCCTCCACGACGATCTTGGTTGGAATTTCAGCTATGCCTCGCAGCAGGTTTCGTCAACGCGTTTTTTTTTTTTATTTTTTCATTTTTTTTAAACTTTTTTTTTTATTTTATTAATTCACCGGTTTAGTTCACCTGATTTCTTGAGTTGTGCATTTTTGTCGCGTGTATTTCTGGTTTTCAAACACTTCTTCTCTCTCTCTCTCTCTCTTTCTTTCTCTCTGTCTCTCTTTCTCTCTCTTTCTCTCTCGCTCTGAGTGTGTTTTCCCCCACTTGGGCTGGCTCTACAACTGTTATCAGTCGCACTCGGTCTTTGCTTTAGATCTATGCTAATTTAATTTATTCTCTTGGCTGTGGTTAAGCGATCAAGTTTAGTATTTAACACGTTACCGTTATGGACTATCGCATTTTGGCACATTCCTCTGCATCCGCATCGAGATGTGCTAATAAAGATAGCTAGATTTCCAAAAATGAAGTCAGAAAATTTCTGACATCTAGAATTAGATTATAAAATGATCTTTGAATAAATGATAATGGAAATACAAGTGAGAAAGTTGCACTCAAACATAAATGACATCATAATGCGCGATTATGGAATTTAAGGAAATACACTTAAGTTATAACATATATGTGTTTATTGCAAACGACAAAAACAAATATATTCCATTCTCTTTTTAGAGTAGCTTGCCTGGTTCATTGTAAATTGAAGCTATAATTGATCTATTTACACTTTGGCATTTATGATATCTAGCATTCTTGAAATACCAAATGTTTGCTTATCACGCTTCTCGCTTCCTTTGCCAAATAGCCTGACTAATCGCATTGGCCATTAACCTTGCCTTAATCAGCATTGCCAACAACTTCAAATCGCTGCTTACTTAGTTAGTTTCCGGTTATTGGGTCTGACACTTACCGAAAGTCTAATAATATCTTCACACATCATGATTCTCTTCTATCTAGATTTTTATTGCTCTACTCTGAAATGAGCCACAAGTTTAAAAATATATAAATATATTTTAGTTTAACTAAATTCTTTAATAGAAATATTAAAATGAACCTCTATTTTCTCATATACATACATATACAAACATATGCGTAAAGAGGCATACAAGTATTCCGTCAGCTTTGAATGAAACAAGTTATAAAAGATAAGTTTCTTTATATTTACTCATCTATTGACTAAGCTTTGTTAAATAACTTTTGCTTGATTCACAAACTAAGTAATCATTAATATATTTATTTTATATATTTTTTACTCGAATCTTTATGGCATGTGCACTCTTCTTCAATACCTCAATAATCTTTGGGTGCAAAGTTTAAAGTGTATATAAGTTTCTTAATGCTTAACTGTTATAAATGTAGTTGCGGCTAGTCATAAAATTCCCATATTTATTCAGTAAAAATTTTTGCATTGCATGTAACTCATTTTGAGTGGCATGTGAATATGTGAACAATTGCTGGAAAGCTGTAAACAATATGGGCCCCAGGCATAACTCTCACATAAAAATAGATAGATAGCAGCTCGATAAATATTACAGACACACACTCACAATTTCCACCAAAGTTTGTTAATTTAACTTTACATCGACTTATAGAAATTTCTCAGTTCTCTACATTGTTAACAGGTTGTATTTTCCTGAGTTTACAGTTATTAGCAATCAATTTTCATATGCAGTCAAGGTCTTGAGAACCCGAGCTGTATTTCTAAGAAAGATAGAAACTTTTGTTGCATCGGCAATTATATAAACAAAATTTGAAGCTAAGCTCATGCTGATCGATGACGCTTAGAAATTTGTCCGTTTCGGTTTTTGGTTAAATGCGTTTCGATCCGGGGAACTTTCGAATTTCGTTACTTATTTCTTTCCTTTATGTTGGAAATATGCATAATTTATACCAAAGAAATATCTGCTTAATTAAATGGATGGACCCTTTCGTCGGCTGTTGCAGCCCCAAAACAAACGAAAACGAAAGCGAGCAACAACCAAAAAATACAAAAAATAAATATGCTTTTTATAAACGACAAAAAAAAAGCATAGAAAGAGAAAGAAAGAAAGAGAGAGGGCGAGAGAGAGATGCCAACAAGTTGTTTTTTGTTTTTTAAAAGACAGTCAAAGAGGAGACGAGAAACGCCTAAAAAGAGCAGAGCCAAACAAGTACAAAACCCAACACACACACATACATATATGTATATATATATATATATATATATATATATAGACAGCGTCACAAGACGAGCCACAAACTGGTTCTAGAATCAATTTTTATTTTCTCAAGCTTAGCGTACAAAAAATAAGAATCCCTCGGCAAACCGAATGCACGAAATATTTTTGAGGCAGCTTCAAAATGAATTTGGTTAACCAACCTCTCAGAACAGGCCAAACCGAAACCAAAACCAAAGCCCAAACCAAAACTGAACCCAACCAGCAGGCTGTCAGGCAACCAGGCAGGCGGTCAGCCAGTCAGCCAGCAGCCAGTTTGTGGCATCCAAGCTGCAGATACGAAAAGTATACGAAAAGTATCTCCCCGTCTGCCCCTCCGTCCGTCTGCCCCTCTGCCCCTCTGTCTCTGCACAGCTTCTAAGCGGCGAGACTTACGTCGCTCTGGGCTCGCAGGCAGACGAGATCTTTATACATTTTATTATTACTTCTCTTGTGGTTGTTGTTGTTGTTGTTGTTGTTGCTGTTTGTTATTGTAGTATGTGCTAAAAGTATCCGCACACTGCCCATGTCGTCCGTTTGGCATTCTATATGTATATATGTATGTATCTCAGAGATACGCGCCTGGTACTAACTATTTGTGTTAAGTTTTTGACCACAACAACAACAACAACAACAACAAAACACAAATTGTTATTGTACATTTGTTCTTTCCATTGTCTTCTATTTTGTATCGTTTCTTTCTTTTTACAAATTTTCATTGTCGCCGCTTTCAGTTTTTAATGCG